TCTGACCTGTTGTCTTCACCTCTTGCCAGTGAAAATTAGTGAGTTTGGTCCCCCAACTTAAGCTCCCATGTGGTGAATCGCACTTGTGTGTATAACTCTACTGCCCTTTAATAGCTTGAGATGGAGGGCACTCTATGGGGTTACCCTTTCTGTTGTTGATTGTAGATCGCATGGAGGAGCCAGTTACTGAGGTAATCTTATGCCTCTGTGTTAATCTCTAGTCCTCTGGATGGGAAATACTAATGCCCCAATCTTTAGGAAGGGTTTTGCCACTCCTGAGGATTACTTGGACCCTATTTCCCCTTAAAATGGGGGTAAGGGCAAGATGGATCGTAGCTGACGCCTACTAGCCTGGATGTGTATGCTTCTATAGTTGCTTGATCTGTCACTAGGGGAAGCAGGCAGCTAATATGTTACTCAGGGCTCTTCCACCAGTCTTGGAAGGCTGCTCCTAATGGGAGGGGTCACTTGGTGCACCTGCTAGGGTCTCTGACAAGAATTTTCCTTCTCTAACCACGAACCCCACTGTTTGCAGCCACCCAGATGCGGAGAGCAGGCCCTAGAGTTATGTTCTTATTAGATGACCTAAGCTGGGCTGAATCAGTGAGCTGTCAGTTGTTGATCTGCACCAAGGCCCTGTAGATTCATGCCAATCACATAGGAAAAGCCACTCTTATTGCTTCTCGCAACCTCCAGGGACAGAGCCCTCCATGCACAGTGTGAAAATCCCTGGGCTAGGGGAGGGGTGATGCCCAGCATCTGGTGATCCCACAGGTGGTGACCTCCCACTGCTGGGGAACTAGTGTTGTTGGGAAGCACTCAAGATTCACCCACCAACATAGGCCCGGCTTGCCAAATCAACAGGTCACGGAAGGGCAGAGCCCACCGCACCCAGCTCAAGTCAGGGGAAGGGTGCTGCCCAAAACCATAACACACTGCAGTATCCAGGTTTTGAACCCCCAAAATGGCGGCTGCCCACCTGCAGAGAGCTAGAGGTGGGAGCAGCTGCTCAGGAATTGGCAGATGCCAGTCCAGCGGGCTGAATCAACAAGACACCCACTGTCCCTTATGTGTCATAGTCCCGTGATCTTGCACCTGTCCGGCAGAAGGTCTTGTTCTTTCTGTCCTGCCCCAAGCCGGCCTAATGACAATTTCCAGGGATAGAGCTCCCTTTTCAGTGTTTACCTCCTTTCTTCTGGCCCCACTGAGCACCAGAGGCAAGGTGCCTGTTTTCAAACTCCCTCCAGTGGTCACAGGAGTGATCACTCAAACCAGTCCCTCCCCGGCCCAGTGCAGTCCTAGCACAGAGCACTTGGGAGTTCAAGATATTTCCCATTATTGCCCCCTTTCCCTCCTCTCCTCTCCTCTTCTCCTCCTCCCCTCCCCTCCCCTCCCCTCCCCTCCTCCCCTCTTCTCCTCCCCTCCTTCCCTCCTCTCCTCCTCCTCTTTCTTTCTGGACAAAGTCTTGCTCTGTCACCTGGGCTAGAGTGCAGTGGCATGATGATGGCTCACTGCAACCTGAAACTCCTGGGCTCTAGTGAATCCCCCTGCCTCAGCATCCTGAGTAGCTGGGACTACGAGTGCATGCCACTGTGCCTGGCTAAGTTTTCTATTTTTAGTAGAGACAGGGCCTCGCTCTTGCTCATTCTGGTCTTGAACTCCTGACCTCAAGAGATCCTCCTGCTTTGGCCTCTCAGAGTGTTGGAATTACAGGTGTCAGTCACTGTGCCCAATTTGTTTTCTATCTTTAAAATGAGGGTAATGATACCTGCCTCACAAGATTGTTGAAAGATTAAATAGGATAATTTATGCAAATTCCCTGTAATAGAGCATTATACAAATGGAATTTATTGTGTGCCCTTCTGCTCCTTATCCCCAACACTTCCTCCCCACCAGTGCTGAAGTACTATATTAGATAAAGGAGTCTCTACAATGGATATTTCCTAAGCTGCTTACTATCTAAAAGTTACTAAAATCTAAATGTTGACCAATTGGCCTGTCATGAGAGTATTTTAAGCTTAAGTATGATATGACCCCATCTACAGTGGCATCATAGTAATTCTGTGTGAGCCTATAGCCTTTTCACATAGGCCTGTTATAAACAGTACATAATTATGTGTGTCCTCTTGCAACCCTAGACACTATCACTGCCCTGTGAGTATAGCCAGATGACATCACTATATAACCAACCAAGTTATTGGCAAAGAATTCTCTATTCTGTCCTAGTGCAGGTAGAGTGGTAGGTAACTAAGATTAAAGATCGACTCTGCATTTGTATAGGACAATCACTAAAGGGCTATGCCAAGGAGCATGCAGCAATTTTGCACATAAGCTTGCTCTTTCTCAACTTAGACCTATGCTTGGAATCAGAGACTTGGCTTTGTGGCTTAACCTCTCAGGCTCAGTGTCCTTGTCTGTAAAATGTGAATAATAATATTTATTATCCACTGTCTTGGCTTGGGTAGAACAGTGCCAAATGGGACCACTCCTGAAGGGAGAGACAGCATCTTTCATCTCAACCAATCAGAGACATAGCAAAGACTCACCCCTTGTTTAATGGCTTGACACTTAAAGTGTTTTTCTACCACAGCACCATATTTCCCTTTATTTTAGAAATATTTAATAGAAGACAGAAAAAATTGTGTAACTATATGGTATTTTTCATTTTTCCAAAGCACTTTCTGCTTCCTCTGCCTACCCTATCAAGGGAAGTATTATTACTAAAGGGAAGTGAAGACCCATCTAAAGTCATACCACAACTAGTAAAAAAGACTAGAATATATAGAGTCCATAATGATTAGTTCCTGTATTGGGCTGTTGCTGCATCCCAAGATTTGAGTTTTCTGACAAATTCGAGGAAACTTTATGATGCATAAAAAGGATACTGGCGTAATTACAGAATCAGTGAACCACATAAAACTAGAAGTCACTTACCATATTCCTAGAAATTTTAAAAACTGAATACATTTTTTCTGTTTATAGTATGCCAAGGCTTCCTAGTAAATAACCAAGATATTGTTCAAAATAGAATGTAATTAAGTATAAACATGTATGGCTCTGACCCTACATGAGAGTGGGATGAGATATCAGAAAAAGCAGAGATCACTCTGCTAAAGGGTTTCATGGAGGAGATGCAACTTGAGTATGACTTGAGTATAAAGTATGAGTAGGACTTGGGCAGATGAACAGAAACATGGACACATTTGAGTATAATATTAGAAAGGGATCTAGCATAATTGAATATGAGTACAGAGTTGGGTTTGGGGGGGCCAGAGGGATGGAGGCAATGAGGAAACTGACATTACTGAAACAGAGTATGTGGACTATGAGGTGGAAGAAAATAAAACCAAACACATATAAGGCCCTTATCATCCTGACCATAATGAGAACTGAACAATTGGATAGGAAACAAGCCTAGGTGTGGGCGAATCCTCTAGCAGTGTCCTGGGGATCCATCAGGGAAGGGAGAGTTAGTTTGTGACTGTGATTTCATGGAGGCATGCAGTGATTGTGGTGAAGACAGAGTGATGACAGTGGGAATAATCCACATGCTATCATGAAGAGAAAGAGTGGTGGATAGGCTTTGTATTAGTTTGCTTGGGCTGATGTAAAAGGTACCACATACTGGCCTAGAACAGTGGTCCCCAACCTTTTTGGCACCAAGGACTGGTTTCACGGAAGACAGTTTTCCCACAGACTGGAGGGGTGGGTAGGAAGCTCAGGCTGTGATGTGAGCGATGGGGAGGGGAGCGGCTGCTTGGCCCACCCTCTGCTTACCCCAGTTCTGCTGTATCTCCTCCCCAGTTCCTAAGTTTCATGGAAGACAATTTTTCCATGGATGGGATGGGAGGATGATGGAGCTCTGCAGCCCGGTTCCTCACAGGCTGTGGACCAGTACTGGGGGTTGGGGGCTACAGCATAGAACAACAGAAATTTATTCTCTCACAGTTCTGGAGGCCAAATGTCTAAAATTAAGCAGTCAGCAGAGCCATGCTCATTCTGAAACCCGGGGGAAAGGATAATACCTTGCCTCTTCCTGGCAGTTTGCCAGCAATCTTTGGTGTTCTTGTCTACAGATGCATTACTCTAATCCTCCATCTTCATGTGGCTGTATTCTTTCTGTATGTCTCTTCAGATTATGTTCTTTTTTAAGGACAACAATCACATTGGACTAGGAGGCTACATCTATGTGACCTCATCTAAACTAATTATATCTGCAATAATAGGGTCATATTCTGAGGTACTGGGGATTAGAACTTCAATGTGTATTTTTTTAGGGGGGACAGAATTCAAGCCATAATAGCTTTTATGACAAATTTCATGTCATAGATTAGGGACTTCAAAATCTTGAATCTGTGTGTGTGGCCACAGACAAGTGGAGAATATGAGGGGAAGTATTGAAATCTGTTGTATTCCAAGAACACACCTCCACAAAGAGAGGTAGACCAGATTATTTGGAGACCTTTTTCTGCCTCAAGGATTTAGACATATGACTTATTTTGTTCTAAGTATATTTCTGGACAGAATTCATTTTTCATATTAGTGTAGCTTTTAAATCCTGGACCTCATATAGAAGATAATGTTCAGGATAAATTTTATTTAGAAGAAAAGTTAGCAAACAAGTTTTATGTCTTCGAAACGCTATTTGTTATTCCTTTTTACCATCAGTATATAGATTTAGCTCACTGAGAAGTCAGTGTGAAATCACTAGGAATCTGGAATTTCTTCTTTGTTCAACAAAATAGATGATTGAGCAGTGATTGAATGTAGAACACATTCTGTTGATGTCCTCTGTATCAGGTAGATTACATCATGCTAGGTTATGGGACTGGGTGCCTTTGAAAGACCAACCAGTTCTTTGCTTTCATCACAAATATAATAAATGTTCATCAGAGGGATTGGATAGTCTTAGAATAGTCATCAACAGTTAATCAATGTCTAGTGTAGCAATGTGTGACAGTGGGCCAGTTGCAACTCTTCAGTCTCTCTTTTTTCTGCAGAATCTTCCCCAGGTGTGACAGAGGTGACCATCTTAGAAAAGGTGCCTGCTGAACGTCATATGATTTCTTCATGGGAACAAGTAAGTGTTACCATGTCAAATCCTTACGTCCCAACAAAGAGGGGGCAATTTAAATGCCCCTAAGAAAGAAAGATTAGGGGAGGAAACCTTATCTCATGCCACAGCTACCTTCAAGGTAGAGTTCACCCTTTTCTCTGTTCCTGTTCAAGCCACTTAATAATTCCTTTAATTTTTTGCCAATTCCACAGCATGGAACGTCTCCTTTGAACCCTGCTGTCCTATGGAAGCAGTAGACATTTGAAGTTGTGTACAAGAAAACTAAAAATCCAGTTAGGAAAGGAAAATATATATATATTAATAAGCATCATGTTCAGAACATGGTAAAGTGTTGCAGATAACTATTAACCAGATCTAAAGCTAGTGCTTTCCAATCCTTCTCTGAACTTTTATTCAATAAAAGACTTAAGCTACTAAAATGGGCCAGGCATTATGCTAGGTATTGAGCCCTGGGAAATCAGTAGTAATTTTTTAAAAGGCACTATTCTTACCCCTTAATTTTATTGTCTAAGACTTCAGCCCCCAACTCCCAAGCTGCAGACCGATACTGGTCTGTGGCCTGTTAGGAACTAGACCACACAACAGGAAGTAAGCAGCGGGCAAGGAAGCAAAGCTTCATTTGTATATACAGCCATTCCTCATCGCTCACCTGAGCATCACCACCTGAGCTACACCTCCTCCCAGTCAGCATCAGCATTAGATTCTCCATAGGAGCATGAACCCTACTATAAACTGTGCATGCGAAGGATTTATGTTGCGCACTCCTTATGAGAGCTTAATGCTTAAATTTAATTTAAATTTAAGCAGAGAGGTTTGTATAACTATTTTATTATGTATTACAATGTAATAATCAAAATAAAATGTACAATAAATGTAATGTGCTTGAATCATTCCCATTTGGGAACGGGGGTGGAACCATCCCCTCCTCCTCCAGTCCATGGAAAAATTGTCTTCCATGAAACCGATTCCTAGTGCTAAAAAGACTGGAGACCGCTAGTCTAAGACCTAATGTAGTATAGATTGTTACAAGTATAATTACGAACTAGACTGAGTACCATGAAAGTGAGATAAAGGGAGCATTGTCAAGATGCCTGCCGAAGTCTGGAAGTTGAGAAGAGATTTTCCCAAAGAAGCTATTAGAAGTTGTTAACCAGGCAGATGAGATCAAGGAAGAAGAGGCTTTCAACATCTGTGAAGACTTCAAGATGAGAAAGATTACATTGCTCTGAGATCACAAAGAAGGAACATGGGAGAGCAGGGGAGAGAGAGAGCTCATCAAGAACCAGGACATAGGACTTTACGGGGTCTGAGGAGTTTGCTCTTTATTAGGGGAGCCACTGAAATGTTTTAAGTAGCAAACTGCAAAGGTCAGATTTTTTCTTTGGAAAGATCACTAGATATAGAGCAGCAAAAGGATTGAGGGACAAGGGGAGCTGGCAAGAAATTACTCTGCTATTTTATAAGAGCCTGCTAATACATACGCATAGGTTATTTTATGGCAAAGGAATAGTAACCCTGCAAAGTAGGTATTGTAGTATCTTCATTTTATAGAGTGAAGGAACTGAGGCTCACAGAGGTTAAAGAATTTATTCTGGGTCACATAGCTGCAAGAGGCAGAACCTACATTTGAACTCAGAGTTGGCTGCATCTAAGCACATGCCCTTTCCTGCTCTACACCAAGCAGCAGCTCTAACACAGGACAACACTGTGGGAGTCTTGCTCTCAGCAACCAAGCAGCCCATGGGTGTTTGTTCAATCCTGCCAGCATGACTCCCTCCCTGGGCTGAATCACTGGCTGCTTTTCTAGCAGGTCAGTAAGTGGAATTGATCTAGGACTTCATCTCAGCAGCACCTCAACTTTTCTCACTCATCTTTTACCCCCATTTCTACTCTTAGCCCATAATAGGAAAAGGGAATTCTAGAACAGTGTCTATTTGTTGAACTTTTATTAGATAATCATGTCAGAGCTTGTTCCTGGTGCTGTTGCTAGTCTGCCAGTCTGGCCTTGTTGACATTGTTTGTTGGGGATAACATTGAGAGAAAGGATATGATCCTGAACATCCCTTTTGATTCTTTACAGGCTTTAGTCAGCTTTTTATGTAGAACTGCCACAGGGCTCTTTTGTGAGAATGAGATCCTAGTATTTTCCTGTCTGCTAAAGACCTGGATGGGAGGGTGAGAGGACAGGAATGCCTGCTCTAAGGTGAAACATCATTAAGGCTGTGACACATGTTACTTATTTAATGAAGTAATTTCTGAGGCTATTCTTCATAGTGTCTTATACCAGATATTCCCCAGAACCCTTTAAGGAGAAGACTTTACCTGTTTGTCCCAGTTTTACTTATTATACTGTAGTTTATTCATTTGGAGCAAGTTTCAGGGCTAGCATGCAAGGGATCTCTTGGGATCTAATCTGCCTCCTGGACACTGCAACTTTATTGGATTCCCCTAACACTTAGGAGAATGCAGTTGTAGAGCTGCATCAGAGGTCTGAAAGGATTAAGGGGTAAGCATGAGAGAAAGATTTTTGACTAACTGAAACAGTTAATGGAACATTTTCTTCAGACATACTCAGTTGGGGGAGTATCTGTACAAGTACTTGGAATAATAAGATACATTGATTTGGAATTTTTTTTTGAGTACTTTAGTTAAAATATCTCAGATCTAAGCACAAATATGCTAAATGTAAAATATAAACAGTATTAGGATCAGTAATGAAAAAATATTTCTTTCACCCGAGCTTGGTGTGTGTGGGTTTTTTGAAGGCCTATGGGATGCTTGGAAGCTAAGAAAGAGTTTTGGATATATACTTGCATTTTAAGAGTCAGTGTTTATATAACAGTGTTTTTCTCTGATTATGCTAAACAGAAAAGAATGGTCACCATAAAAATTTTTTAAATATGCAAATGCAAAAAATAAAGTAAGTCCTATAGGGTTTTACCATCTAGACATAACTACTGTTAGTATATTTTTGGTTGTTGTGTTTAGGTAGAGGGAAGGCAATGGATAGATCCAGGGATCTGCTACAAGTCTGTGAATGGGAAGTGTTCCATGGGCTCCTTGAAATGTATGTCAGGTTTATTAAGTATGTACATTTTTCCTGGGGAGAGATTTCTTCAGATTCTCAAAGAGGTTCATAGCCCCAAAAATGTAAGAGCAGGTTTTGTATAATTTTTTCAGTCAAAATGGGGCAATAGTCTATGTGCTATTTTGTTATGTATTTTTGTCTAAGAGAAAAAGAGGCAATGGAGGGCAGAAGTTTTGAGCTGGTCTGAAAGTCCCTGTCCCACTTTCTCACCCAGTGGATTACTGAAGGAGAACAGTCTTGGTAGGGCCACCCCTGACTTGTGCTTCCTTCTGTCAGTGGTGTAAAGGTTCTTGCTAACATTGCAGAAAGGAATTTCAGGACACACACACACAAGCTATAGTGGCAGATTTATTGAGTGAAACTGGACAGGCTTAGGAAAGGCTTATGCAGAAGCAAAAGTATGCTCTCAAGAAAGAGCAGGCAGGCTCAAGAGGAGCAACTGCCTCGAATCCCAAGCAGTTGATGTTTTATTTGTTGAAGTCAAAGAAGGCTGAATGGTCAGTGTTCATTCTGTTCTTACTCATATATAATGGGGAAAGGTCACTTTGTACCCATGCAATGCTGGGAAATTAATGGTTCTTTTCTTCTCCTCAGCTCTGTTTAAGAGCTTTTTGTTTGAGCCAGTTGACTAACTTTTCCATTCCCTCCTCCCTTGCTCATACCTAACTGACTACCTACTGTAACATTTCCAGAAGTGCCCATTCTAGACAGGAGGATCCCAGGAGGCTGATAAGTCCTACTTCTCTAGAGGACTGACCCTAGAAATGTGTCTTTGGAGACACCTCATCTAGGACACAGCCTCCATGTGATTCACCTGGTATCCACAGCTGCATAAATATAGCTGATGAGGCCCTCCGAGAAGAAGCCTACTGCTTCTGCCCCTTTGGGCAAATGGAACACCGTTAAAGTTGTGACATGTTATATCACTTATTTAATGAAGTAATTTCTGAGGCATATTCTTCCTTGGGTCTTGTACCTTGTCTGGGAAGCTCACTAAAATACGATATAGTAGTAAGGCTATGGAGGCATTATGATGTGGGGAAAATATCCTGGAGTAGAAATCTTTGATCTGCTCTGGACTCTTGGCTAGGTAATGTAACTTCTTTGAGACTACATTTATCATCTATAAAATAAGTGGTTTGAAATCAGTGTTATTGAAGGACTCATCCAGCTGTAATCTAATATTTTCTAATTCTATGGTACAAATCCTGGAAGAAAGGTTGACAACTAAAACTTGAATGACCATATACTTGCTGCAGTCCCCTAAGGTTAGAAGAACAAGTAAACAAACTCTTCCCAGTTTAATATATTTCACCCTATTTTGTTCATATAAGAACAGTTTCAGTCTGGTTGGTTTTGTGCAGTTATATGATTCATGTTCCTGGGCCTGCTACCTGCCTTGTGTAATGATGGTACATAGTAAGGCCTAATGTCTACACTGAGCTTTTCATCTTTTAGGCACCATGAAAACATCTGCCTCTTAATTCTCATAGCATCCCGATGCCAGGAGAGTTCTGTTATTAGCATTCAGTGACATTTCATATTTGCAGAGTGCTTTATAATTCTTGGTTGGTTAGACTCTCCAATCCCCAGATAAAAATTCAGTTTCCTGATGGTGAAACTATGGCCCACAGAGACCAAAATGATTTGGCAGAATTTCCCCTTTCTCTTCAGTCTCACATTTTTACATTCTACTGAGTGGATTCTGAGTCGTCTTGCAGATCTGTTCCTTATAGCCTCCTGCTATGAATTCATTGTTAAGTGGGAGAAGTTAGCCTGTGACACCATGTCACTAGGGGCCATCTCACTTCATGCTCATACTCTGCCTGGTAGCTTCTCAGTGTTTTCCTCCATTGGTTAGTCCCTCTCTAGTGCTTAACTTCCTCCCTCTATACTGGCAGCTTCCCCACAGGATCTTTTCATCTCCTTAAAATAAAAAAATAATTCAGGTTTAGGTGCCACACAAAAATTTTAACAATAAATGAAACAAAAAAAAGCCTTACTTCATCTCACTTGACTTCTCTTCTGCATTTCTCAGGTTAACCACTCTGCTAGCTCTCTCTTCTCTTGAGTTCTAAAGCACCCTTCTCGTAACTCTGAGTTGCTGACCAGAGCAGAGGAGCTTTCAGGTTACCAGTTTTGGGTTCCCTGCAAGCCCCACTCAGAAGAGATAAACATGGTAGGAAGGGACTAAAGCACTGCAGGCCTGCTCCAGGGGTGCCTGGGACAGAAAGATCTGTAACAAATAAACAACAGAGCCTGGGGCTGCCAGTCATTTATTTTAGAAGGACAATGAGGACTTAATGTTTTTCATAAATTTGGCTCACCAGATAATTGTTATGTTTATATTAGTATTAGAAATGTATATTAAATATTCAAGTTCACTTCTATTTTTATGAATTTTGAATACTTTTTAAAATACTGGTATAAAATACCAAAATTTCCTTCTTGGGTGAAACAAATACCATAACAAATGCTATAATTGCTATTATTGGAATTCTTCAGCCTAACTTAAAGATAAACGTTGTCAAGTAGTCAACAAGCCCTTCTCAGCTGGAATCTCATGGAATCCCTGTTAAGAAAGGCTGGTAGACAGTAGTTTCCTTGTCTCTGCCACGAGATGGCACTAGTGATCAAAGTCTCATAGTGGATGCTGGCCTTTTGGGGCAACAGAAGAACCTTGTCAGAACATTGATAACTGTAGACTTCCTGTGTGATGATTCCAGGGGTTGGAGAAAGGCATTCTGCATGCACACTTTTTCTCTCTGAAAACACAGAGAATGTAGCCATAAAGAAAGCCCTAGGAGCAAGCTCTTAACTCCAAATAACTTACTAAGTAAGAAAATAAATTGCCCAAGGAAGCCAAGAATCCAAAAATGACAGCTATTGTCCATTTACGAATCTAAAAACATTGTTTAAAATTACCCGCAAGCTTGAGGCTTTTTCCTCACCTACAGTTCTTGAAGATGCTGTGGCCACAAATCATAATAATTTCCTAGTCTTCTCTCTTCCTGTCAAGTTCATACCCCCCTCCTACCCCCAGTGTTATACAAATGCAATCTTAGTGTTTATTCTTGAACTTAGATTCACAGAATTTAAGTGACATGCTCAAGGCTACTCAGCTAGTGGCAGAGTTGGGAAATAAACTCAGATCATCCTGTTACATTGTACTTCCTCATACATTGGGTACCTACAAATGACTGATAGTATAACCTAAAATAAACTTGATGTAATCAGTGGTCTGCATCACATCTCAGAAGGGTCCAGTAAGCCAAAAGTTTGGACAGTTACTAACATGTTGCCTCTTTGCCTCTATAACCATATCACAAAGTCACACGAGGGGGCCCAGGAAAGGAATTAGAGAACTCATCCTTCTTCACCCTCCAGGGATTTGAGTTGGCTAGAGAAGACTGGTCAGGCATGTGCACAGATGTTAGTTATGTAGGGCTTGCTCCTGGTATCTTCTGAAAGGATACTAAGCTCTTCCTTTGTTCTTTCCCCCACCAGTTTGGATAATTGGTTATCCATATGAAATATTTGAATATAGCCTTTGTACTTTTTTACTTTCTAAGAATTGTCAGAACTATTAGAACAGGTTCATTGCATTAAGTGCTCTGGAAATAGATACTATTCATTTTTAAGATGTTCTCATTTGTCTAGTTTGTTTCAGAAAATAATATATGAGCATGGATCTAAAATTTATGGCAATGATTTCTTTGCTCTAACATTGTCACACTTTACCTAAGACCTCCTCTCTCACCATGTTCCTCTGTCTTTTCTTCAGATAATGCACCGAGACATGATCATGGCAGGGCAGACACCTAGTCTGCTTTATCAGGTGAAGCAAAAAATAAGGTCAGACTGGTGACTCTGTTTGCAGAAACCAGTGCCTCTCTGACAGAGTTTTGTAGGTAATTACCAGAGTCTTCCTGTTTCAGGGATCTGAAACATGGTAAATCGTGTCTCCAGTGCCTTGAGGCATAGCCCTGTGTCCTCTTTCCCAGCCCTGGTCTAACACTCAGCTGCTTTGTGCTTCTAGAAGAATAACTGTATGATGCCTGAGGATTTGAAGAACTTTTACCTGATGACCAATGGCTTCCACATGACATGGAATGTGAAGCTAGATGGTGAGTTGGCTTTCTTGCTATAGGAGAACATTGCTCTGGCTGAGAGGTTGGGTGGGACAAGTCTGAAGGTCCTTACAACTTTTGAGTCTTTGAATCTGGATGGTTTTCATGGGTGCTCCCAAGTGCCATGTCCAGAAGCTGTGATTATCTCCCAAAGCTAACAGGTACTGTCATTGCTTCACCCACCACCACACATGCCACAGTCTAGCCAATCCAGAACTAGAAGCTCAATTTACAAGATTCCTATTGAAATGGGGTAAACAGTAACCATTACCCAAAAAGCCTAAGCCATCTCAAACTTACAGCCTCAGAAGGCTCCACCTCAGAGCAAAGCCCTCAAAGTGGCAGTGACAGTCTCCAGTGTTCATGGGAGGGGCTGGTTATCTCTTTCAGGCTCCTTTCTTTATTCCCACCATTACAAAGACCTTAGGGCTCCAACCCCTTGCTTCTCTCTCTCATATCACAAGCTACCTCAGTTCACAGGCCATCTTTAGCCTTAAATGTGTCTAGTACAAAACATTTGTGTGCCTATGTGGGAACTTACAACTTAACATAGATTCCAGATACTATATGGACATAAAAGGCAGCACTGCATATTTTGGTGAATACTGCTATAAAATTTCATAAGCTAGGAAATCCTGATTTAACCACCAGAGTGCAGCCCATTCCTGGCACAGACTTCCCGGCCCCACCATAGGCCTTTATTGCTTCTGACTCTAATCACATCCTCAGGTGTACTTAGGCCTTGGGAAGCACCCCACTGCTGTGTTTAAGAATGCAGTGACTTCTGTTGCATAGCACATCTACAAAGCTGATTTCTCCCCTTCATTGACTCTGCCTTCTGCCTATACACCTGAGTTCCCTTTTTTGGTGATTCCCAAAGCCGCCTTGTCTAACTCAGCCTACTGGAGGTACTTTTTATACCTTACTATTGAACATTTAACATTAGCTTTTAGCTTAGAATCATTTCGTCCTGTGTCCTAGAAATCATCCTTGTCACCAGCATCAGAACCCTCCCTTATAGCGTGGCTGTGGCCTTTTGAGTCTGCAGCAACAGAGGGGACAGAGACGAGACTGACAGACTTTCCCTTGCCTGCATCATGGGGACAGACTGGCCCCTTCACAAGCCTGCCTCAGAGAAGAAATGTTTCATGAGTATTTAATGAACGAGTCCCTGTTCATTATTGTAGTACTTTCTCTAATTTAATCTTGCCTATACTTTACTGCAAAACTTAAGTCAGTGACAGAAAAGGCAGCTTCTTTTAGTGGTCTTCTTGGACATTCCATGGTATGTATATACACCAGCTGTTTTATTGCCTTCAGCCATTCCAATTTTTTCAGCAGTCAAGTAAGGAAAACATGTCTTCCTGTTCCTTATTATACCCTAATCACAGAAGATTAGACCCAAGCAATAAGAATGCCAGGTTCTCTTCATTGAGTTAGGGAAAATGACAGGGAGATATTATATAATCAAAGCTATTACTCCTTTGGAAAGTATAACTCTTTATGCAGAATACTGGCTAAATAAGGGAAAGAGGGAGCAAAAAACATTTTTAAGTCCTTTACTCCTTAAACAGGGACCCCAAGCTCATATTTCCCAGTTCTTTTTGAGTATTCCCTTGTAAAATTTTCTTCAGCTCCACCGTAATGCTTGCAGTGGGGACTCTTCATCACCCATGGCCCTCATTTTCTTTTTTTACCTGTAAGTACAGTGAGTGATCTTCCTTCCACCAGATTACTCAGCCACAGGGGCAAACAATACCTGGGCTTATTCAAGCAGAAGCCTTTATGATAACCAGTGTAACTAGGCTATTACTACATGTAATTCTTCTTATGTTTCTATAGACCACACCATTCCACTGGGCATCATGGCAATTAACAGCATCTCAAAACTGACTCAACTCAACCAGTCTTCCATGTATTCACTTCCTAATGCACCAACTCTGGCAGACCTGGAGGACGATATACATGAAGGTATGAAGAAAATGCCAGAGTTGGTATCTTTGTTTTGTTTCCAGCACCCAGCTCAGTGCCTGGCACGTAGTAGGCATTTAATGAATGTTAACATCAAGGGACTTCGGTCTAAACACAGCTCCTTTCCTCTCTCCCAAGCTCTTTGTCACTTCTGAGTGAAATGGCTTATAAGTCAAATAGTTGCTAAAATTCATGAGCCAACTGGGTGTGAGGCCTTCTTCAGTCAGAATTGTGTTTGGCTGCATATAACAGATTCAATTACAATATTTAAGCTAAATAGTGTTTTATTTTTCTCATAACAAGAAATCTGGAACTCAGGCTGGTGTAGCTGCTTGAGAAATTCAATGATAAAGTCTCCCTCTGGCTTATTGCTCAGCCTTTGGATATGGTTTTCATCCGTATAGTTGAGGAATGTGGGCTCTACTTCCAGGTTTCAAGTCTCTGTTCCTGTCAGGAAGAAGAAGAGTAAAAGGCAAAGGACAAAAAAAACCTGGCTCTTGGCAGAATCACTCCCTTGTTATAAGGAAAACAATAGTTTTCTCAGAAGCCCTTCCCAATAGCTATTGGCCAGAACAGGCAAATGGCAACCCATAGTTACAAGGGAGTCTGTTTAGTTGACCAGTATGGCCTCCTCAGTCAGAATTGGTTTTAATTAAGAAAGAAATGGAGAATAAATAGTATTGAAGACACTAGTTGCCTACTCACTAAGACCTTGGGGTTCATTGAGGTCCTAGCAAAGAAAACTGATATAAGGTTTTTTCCCTCAATTGAACAAGCAGTTGGAGAATGGTACCAGAGGACTACAGGAGCAAAGACTAGAAAGTGATAGATCCTGAGAAAACCCTGTTGTTCAAAGATCTATGGAATTCCTAGAAATGGGAAAAAGGTCACATTGGCTTCTTTAAAAGGCAAAGAAGTAGTTAAATAGGTAGTCTGAGTCTTCCCTGCTCTCAAGGCTGGAAGAGTAGAGTTAGATTAGATAATAGGCTTCAAGGGTCCTCAGCAAAAGGACTCGAGCCAGGAGTACGGACCACATTTGTCCTCTAGGGATAAAAACCACTTGGACTTCTGGCACTTTAGGAAAGTCCACCTAAACTGAAATAGAAAAATATTGACTTCCGTCAGGGGATTCAGAAGGATGATCGGGAAGAAATATCAGAATACACAACCAGTCAGGTATGATGGTGCACTCCTATAGTCCCAGCTACTTAGGAGGCTGAGGTGAGAGGATCACTTGAGCCCAGGAGTCTGAGGCTGCAGTATACTATGATCATGCCTGTGAATAGCCACTGTACTCCAGGTTGGACAATATATGCTAGAGAAAACAGATGAAAACTTAAGGAGACTTAAGATAGCACAAAGGCTTCCTGTCAATAAAAGAAAGTAAAGATTCTCAAACAATTGACTAAACATATTGAAGGAGAGTATAAACATTATTTAGACCTGAGTTGGCCTGAAAAATCAAGTATAAGATATAGCTTAAAGCACAGACATATCAATTTAAAAGAGAAGAATTAATGAGGAAAAAGGTAAGAGGGTAAGAAAAATTGAAAACAGATTCATGATACCTTCCACTGGAATTACAGTTGCTTAAAAAGAGAAAAAGTGTAGATGGAAAGGCAATAAATACAAATAAAAGTTTCCGCAGCTTGAAAGAGCTCACCTAGACCTAAATTGAACAGAGGAGAAAATATAGACAACTATGCATATCTTGATGTGGAAAAAATTATGAGCTGCTAGGCACAAATAACAAATTACTTAGAAAATAATGAGGAAGCATATACAGGGTACTAAGAGAAAAGGAGTGAAAATCAAGGTTGCTATATATGCAGACCAAATATACCTTTCAGGTTATAAGAAGGATGTTAAAGAACATAAATATTCTAACCATATGAAGATCTCAAGATGTGGATACGTGAAAAGGAAGTAAGGGATTAGTGGACCTCCTATGAGAGAGAATATGTGTATATGTATGTGTTTAAAAGTAAATCTTACTAGCTAGGAATGTGTTATATAACTTTTACATAGAAACTCTTAGAACATATTGCAAGGAATATTCTAAAAAGTGCTATGCCACTGTCAGTTAAACCTAAAAGGTGAGGAGAAAGGCCACATAAAAGAGTGTTACAGGTTAAATTGTATCCCCCTCACAACGTGACCTTATTTGGAAATAGTCATTGCAGATTTAAGTAGTTAATAGGGTGAGCTCCTAATGCAATGTGATTGGTGTCCTTCTAAAAAGAAGACATTTAGACACAGACACACACAGGGAAAATACCATTTGAAGGTGAAAGTTGAGGTAATGCTAAAGAATACCAGAAATTACCAGCAACCCACCAGAAGCTAGAGGTAGGGAACAGATTCTTTTCCACAGCCCTCAGAAGGAACCACCTTTGGGAATACCTTGATTTCGGACTCCAAGCCTTCAGAATTGTGAGACAATAAATTTCTGTTGTTTAAGCTACTTAGTTTGTGATGCAGCAGACCTAGCAAATTAATACAAAGACTGTTCCAGAGGTCCTTATAGTGGAGAATGGAGGGAAAAAAGGGAAAAAGAAGTAAAAAGTCTCATCTCACTGTACAGAAGAAATATTACACTTTGGTGGGTAAGATAGATTATCTTGGTGTATCATTTTTCTTTTCTGTATACCAAAGAATACCTCAAATTTAATGACTTAAAACTCCACAACTATGTTAACAGTTTCTGTGCATCAGGAATTCAGCTACTGGTTAGCTGGGTCTATTGCTTAGGATCATACCAGGTGAAATCAAGGTGTGACCTGGGACTTTGATTTCATCTGAAGCACAGGAACTGCTTCCAAGCTCACTGTGGTTGGCCATTTTCAGTTTCTTACAGTTGTGGGACTGATGTCCCTGTTTTATTCCTGGCTTTTGGCCAGGGGTCACAGCACCTTTAAGCTACCCTCAGATTCTAGCCACTTGACCCTCTTAGAACATGGCAGCTTACTTCTAAGCTAGCAGGAAAATTTCCCTCCAGTATGCTACTACAGTCTTTTTGAATAACTACCCATCATGTTCATAGGTTCTGACCACACTCAAGAGGAGCAGGGGACTACATAAGGTGTGTACACCATGGAACATTGAGGGCCACCTTAGAATTCTGTATACCATACCTGCTTAGGAAAATAGTTATTTTTAAATAAGAATAGAGTCAAATGGATTTAATCATGCATGCAAAAACAACGAAGAAAAGAAGATAACCACTAAAGGAATAAAAAATTACATTAAACTATCTAGTCTAATAAGGGCAGTGTTGAATGACATGAGCAAAAATAAGAGAAAGGAAAAAGAAGAAATAACATTATAAAATAAGAAACATAACTTTTAGATGAGAGGAATAAAATAAAAGTTCAATCACTAGATTAAATGTGAAAGATCGAATCTTCGTTTTGAAAGACAGAGACTGTAGAATTGATAAACTGATGAGACTTCCTTTTATGGTAATGGGAGATAGTTAATTCAGAGCAGCCTTCCTGCTGAAGACAAGCAGGATAAAATTTTCAAATCCTCTTCCTTAAAAGCATCAAAGGAGCTAATGAGACAATGAGATGTAATACCAGACTAACATTCAGGAGAAGACAAATCCAGGGAAGAGACTCAACATGTGAAGTTGGTTTGGCCTAGGATACATTGTTCTTTTGAAAAGAGGCAATGAGGCTGCAGCAAAGCTGAGAATTTGTTCCATTGTGAGCCAGGGGAATAAAATGGAATCCACAGCCTACAAAAGATGAAAATCACCCTTCCCCTTTGTGTTGGCACTATGAAGAGCTGTACCCTGGGAGACAGGATGAAACAGAAGTAACCATTCTTCATATAGACTGAAGCTCAGTGTGTACTACAAAATGTTAAATCCTAAAATTGAACTAAATTGATCCCAGATTACTAATCTTATGGGCCTGGCAAAAACAAAAATTCACCCTAAAGAAATGTTCTAAAATTGATCGTGGGAGTGATTATATTACTCAGTAAATATACTAAACACCAGGCACAGTGGCTCATGCCTGTTATCCCATCGCTTTGGGAAGCTGAGACGGGAGGATTGCTTGAGCTCAGGAATTTGAGACCAGTCTGGGCAATGTAGTGAGACCTGTCTCTACAAGAAATAAAAAATTAGCTGAGTGTGGTGGCATGCACCTGTAGTCCTAGCTTCTCAGGAGGCTGAGGCAAGAGGATAGCTTGAGCCTGGGAGTTGGAGGTTGCAGTGAACTCTCATCATGCCACTGTACTCTAGTCTCAGTGACAAAGTGATACCCTGTTTTAAAAATAAATACACACACCCCACACTGTAGAATTGTATACTTTAAATGAGTGAATGGTATGGTAGGTGAATTATATCTCAAAAAAGCTTTTATAGAAAAAGAAAATTTCACCATAGAAGGAAAACATCCTAAACTTCAAATTAATTTTATAAATAATTTTTCAAAAAGTAATTTCTACTAAAATATAACCAGGCATATGAGGAATCACAACCCATGAACAAGAAGCAACACAAATAACAGGTAATGGAAAGAGATCAATAGTGGTTACTAGAGGCTTGTCGGGGAGGGATAGGGAAAGGGGAGACATTGGTCACCAGGTATGAAATTTCAGTCAGAAGGAATAAGTTCTGATGATCTGTTGTAAACCATGGTGACTATAGTTAATACTAATGTATCATATATTTCAAAATAACAAAGAGAAGATTTTAAATGTTCTCCACAAAAAAATGATAAATATTTACGGTGATGAATATGCTGAGTAGCCTGATTTGATCAGCCACAATGTATACATATATCAAAATGTCACATTGTACCCCATAAATATATACAATTATTACTTGTCAAATTTTTTATTTTTTTTAATTAAAAGAAAAACAGATCTGCTAGTACTCCCAGCAGCGGTATTAGATACAGTCTGTAAAACAACATGGTAATGCATACATTGAGATAAAACCAAACTAAAATTCAGGGAGGAACTGAAAACAGTGGTATTGCACTGTTTGAAACAAAGGAAAGAAAATTCAAACACTGACATGCTTATAGTAATGACAGAGTACCTTTTACCAGATCAAAGCTTCTGCAAATAATACTCTACACTCCAGAAAAAGTTTAGAAACAATTACCTGGAAGGACTGGAGAGTAACCAAAAACAGGCAGAAGCTGGGGTGGTATCTATACACTTGGCAGAAGGGAACCACACTAAGTGACTTTTCTATTTCTATGACTTTTCACCTAGGACAGACCCCAGTCAGCCCAAGGCAGGGCTGTTAATACTTGGTAGGAACCTACAATCTAGACTTTTTATTTCATCCAACATAGATAAAAAGAGATCAGATTTATCCTCACACCTGGAACAATAACCACCACCACAACAAAATACGCCAAACACTGGTTTTCAAGATACTGGCCATCAACCAACAAAGGACAGTGAGCCCTGAGCAATGGGAAACAAACAAGGTGAACCCTACAATTTCCCTAGCATACTACCTTGAGAAGAGTTTCCAGTCCACAATGTAGAATGGGGGACCCAGGTAGGATCCATTGCACTCCAGCAGAGGGTCCCCCTCAAGTATTCAGCACATAACTGATAAGCACATGCATATGAAGAAACTGCCCAAGGTCAGGGGACAGAACCACTCAAAATGATTACAGGGAATAATGCCCAGTACTCACACAAGACCAGGAATAGTGCCTATTTTTATCAGGCCAAAATACCTTATAGTTTACACAGCATTAGGTACAGTACTCAAAAAGGTCTTGTCTCAGTAATGGAGAATAATTAGCTCTAGGTTATGCCTTACAAATTTTAAGAGCAAGGCCCAAAGTATCTGTTTCCAGGTAACTTAACTATGTCAAAGAACAGAGCTCAAGAATATTTACAGAAATACAAAAATATCCAGCACTCAGCAATGGAAAATTAACAATTTCTGGCACCAAATCAAAGACTGCCAGGCATGCAAAGAAGTAGAAAAATATGACCATATTAAGAAGAAAAAGATTAATTGAAACCAATCCAGCAGTGACACAAGTTTTGTTATAGAATTAGTATATATGTTTACCTTTGCTTTATTGATTAAAAAAAATTAGCATGTATAGACATTAAAGTTATAACTTCATTACATATATCAAAAAAATAAGTATAGACATGGAAGATATATTTTTGTGTATGTATATAATATCCCAAATTTAACATTAAGAGATGAAAATGAGTTTCTAAGATGAAAAATAAACTGGGCAAGCTCAACACTGGCTTAGATATATCAGAAGAAAGATTTGAGAACTTAAAAGCATAACAATAGAAACTATCCAAAATGACACAGAAAGAAAAAATTCTATATTTTTAATGAAAAGAGCATCACTGAGCTGAGGGACAACAAATGGTATAATAATATATATGTAATCGGAGTCCCTGAAAAAAAAAGGAGTCAGGGGCCAGAAAATATTTGAAGAAATAATGGCTCAAAAGTTTACCAATTTGATGGAAACTATAAACCCACATATCCAATAAGCTTAGTAAGCCAGGAACAAGAACACACAAATATACCAAGAAACACTGTAATCAAATTGCTCAGAATCAGGGATAAAGAGAAAATCTTATAAGCAGCCAGAGAGAAAAGAAATTACATAAAAAGGAACAGAGATAAGGACAATGGCATATTTCTCCCTGGAAACAATTCAAGCAAGATAAAATACTCGAAAAAGTTATCAACCTAGAAGTTTATACCCAGTGAAAATGTTTTTTTTTAAAAAAGGCCTTTTTGAAAAGCAATCTGGTAGAATCCATTCTGCTGCAGGCAATCTATCCCATATAACAAAAGCACCAGAACATAAGGACATGTATAGAGATGATTATTGTGACATTCACAGCAGAATGATAGGTGAATGCCTGTCAATGGGGGGTAGCAGAATAAATTAGGGAACATCCACTCCCACAGACTATCAAGTAGTCATTAAAAAGGATTAATTAGAATTACACCACATGACTTAGAGGGCTTTCCACATGGTATTGCATAGAAAGCAAGATTCAGATCATGTGTTTCATATCTCATTTTTATACAGTAAACAATCCTGGGAAAAGGAAACGTTATGTCAACACCAAGCCATCAAGATTGCTCTGCCCTTATGTGGTCATGCTCCCAAGAAATTGCTTTCCTTGTGCCTCCTTTCCCCAGATTCCCTTATACTACCTGTTGATGATGGGGAAGCCCAGACAGAAAGTCCTAGATGAGATCCAGGACATCCACATACAGAATTTATTTGAAAAGAATATTTAAACATATGTCTAAGATAAGGCTTTTTCCCCATTTTTTCATCCTAGCAAAGTTGGATGTATAATTATGGGTTTGAGTTAAGTTGTTTGAACATTACCGTTACCTTCTGGGTTTGCAGCCGGTGAGGACCAACCAGAGAAGCCTCACTTCGACTCTCGCAGTGTAATATTTGAGCTGGATTCATGCAGTGGGAATGGGAAAGTTTGTCTTGTCTACAAAACTGGAAAACCAGGTAAGGATCATTTACAAACATGGTCCTATCGTTAGGCTATAGTCTTGCCTGACCTTGCTTGTCAGCCATCATACAAAAGGCACATATCTCCTTGGCCTCCTGGGATGCTGCCAGGTCTCTTATGTGTGCTGTGACCCAGAAAGCCCCTCTCATCCTCTCTGAGCATCCGCCTCTAGGCTACTTACTAGAGTCCATTTATCCATCTTTATTTGTGAGTTACTGCAAAACAGTCTATGGGATTAGGATAATAGATGAGTAAAAACTAAAAGAAATAGCCATATTGTTAATAGACTCCTTTGGCAGATTCAGGCAATAGATAAACATCTAAGAAATACATTATCTTTTATCTTTCTTTTATACTTCAATATCTAGGCATATTAACAGCAATAAAAACCTGAACTACTAACAGACCTTCAAGACCCCAAATGGGAAATCAAAAGAAAAAGTCTCTGTGCCCTTGAGCAGCAGCTGCCACTTGGCCCCATAATAACATTTAAGACCCTAGTCTAGGGACTGTGAAACCGCAGAGCTAGATAAGGCCAAGCCTTCTTCAGGTAGCTCCTCAGGTAGGGGTGAGAAGATATACCAGGATTTTCTTCTCCGGGAAGGAGAAATTGTCTCTAGCTGGAGGAATCTTTGCAAAGTAGCCTTTGAGCTACATCTTGAATTATGGGTAGGAATTAATATGGGGTGGGGAGGGGGATTTGGTGGTATAAAAGGGGCTTGATCAAAGCAAAGGGACAAATGGGTAAAAACCATGCCGTGGGAAAGCCCAACTAATTTGGGGGGAATGACAGATAAGTTCAATTCAGTGGGCCACATGATTCACCTAGAAGATGAGGAGATGAAGCCAGAAGGCCAATTTCTCCTTCTCACTTAGAGCTTTGAAAGCCAAGTGAAGTTTGGACATAATGTGGAAGATAGTGAAGAATCAGTCAAGGTATCTTAGGAGGATGCTAGAATTCAAATGGAAATGTTTATGACCACAAGCATTTTGGGCAAAGAAAGAGACTGGGTGGATGACAGACACCACTTAGGGAGATGTTACAGCTATCTAGACAGCAGGAGGAGGATAGGCTTGAAGTAGTAAGGATAGAAGTTTGGGAACAGGTGTGAGGCAGGAGCTGGCATGATAGCACTTGCTTGAGCTCAACCAGGACATCACTGTAGCACTGAGAGGATTCTCAGGACTCAGCTTCTCTGAGCTCCTTGATGGTGGTTTTTAATAGCACTTTTGATTACTGAGACAGACCTTCTTCAGAATAGCCCAAGCCAAGTCAGAATTTCTCTCCATCAGGAAAGCTGAGACCACGGAATGTACCCACCGGGGGAAAGGGGAGTACTGATTACACACAGAAAAAGATCGGCTGCTTAGATAGCCTGAATGTACTTTCAAATGGTGAGAGCCAGCAAACAGATCAGTCAGCCGATCTGTTTGCTCAGCAGTGGCTCACACCTGTAATCCCAGCACTTTGGGTGGCCAAAGCAGGAGGAGCTCTTGAGGCCAGGAGTTTGAGACTGGCCTGGGCAACATAGCAAGACCCTGTCTCTACCCAAAAAAAAAAAACAGTAGCCAGGCATGGTGGTGTATGCCTGTAGTCTTAGCTACTCAGGAGGCTGAGGCAGGAGAATTGCTTGAGCCCAGGAGTTGAAGGCTGCAATGAACTATGATCATATCATTGCACTCCAGCCTGAATGACAGAGTGAGACTCTGCTCCCCCCCCCCCAAAAAAAATGTAAAAGAATGTCAAAGACACTGGTAAAAGTGGCCACTAGAGAATGAGACTGGGAGGTTATAAAGGGGAAAAAGAGAGAACTTTTACTTTACATTTTATATCCTCTCTATTGGGATTTTTTTAAAACCGTAAGTATATATTGACTTTATAGTTAAAAGGAAAAAGTGTTAAGCTTTCCCTTAACTTTTGTTTCCTTTGCTATTTCAGCATTAGCACAAGACACAGAGATCTGGTTCCTAGACAGAGCATTATACTGGCATTTTCTCACAGACACCTTTACTGCCTATTATCGCCTGCTGATCACCCACCTGGGCCTACCCCAGTGGCAGTATGCCTTCACCAGCTATGGCATTAGCCCACAGGCCAAGGTAAGGGAGAAACACCCTTGTTCATCTTAAACTGTGATGCGTATCAAAATCTGAGGCAGTGGTTAAATTGCAGATTCCCCACTTCCCCATCTGATTCAGGAGATCTGGGGTGGAGCCATGGAATCTGCATGCCCAATAAGCAAAGCAGGTGACTCAAATGTAGGTGGACAACCTCACTTTATACTGATCCAGTTAAGTGGTTGCCAAACTTGGCTGATCCTCAGAATTACCTGGGGAGTTTTTATTTTTAAATGTTACAGTGGGGCGGGTGTGTTAGGTCCAATTAGTTGTTGGATTGGCAATACATACACACAGGAAGAGTAAAAGTCAGTCTCTTAGTCCCCTATTTTCCCAGTGTGCTTCCCCAGAGGCAGCCACTATTACCAGTTTCTTTTGTGCCTTTTCCAAGATACTCATTGCACTTAAAGCATACATACATACAGTTTTTGGTTCCTTTTATCTAAATCACAAGTGTAATGTACTATCCACATTGTTCTTCACTTAACACCTCATCTTGGAGATACTCCCTTCCAGTACATTTAGAGGTGCCTTTACCTTTTCAATAGCTACAGAGTATTGTAGGGGTATGCCTCATTTTTTTTTATTACAGGTCTGGGCACCATTTCAAACACATAGATGCCAGGTATGCAACCTGATACACAATCCAGTGTAGAGAAGTCAGTAAATGTGGATGCCCTTTTCCCTCAGCTGCCTAGAAAGCCAGTAGGGAACAGAATACCGACACACACAGCTTCTCTCAGCATGAACCTCTCCTAGGGGAAGGGTGCTCACCTGATGGGAAGTAGCTGATGTGAGAGCAGAACAAGTAGAAGGAGACTGTCCCTTGGTGATTTGAGATTTAGCATACCATGCTCAGGGCTCACTAGATCAGAAAGAAGTGTAGTCACATTCTAGTTTTTATACTGCCTTTACTTTAAAGGATATGAGACCTAAAAGCAATGGGTGTGTCTTACCAGGGGTTGATGGAATCTGTCATTATTTTCACTTAAAGGAAGAGCTAATAGATCTCTGAGATAGTTTTTCATAGAAACTTATACTCTCTTCTGTGCTTCTGATCCCAGCTCTCTACCCCACATCCCCACTAAAGAGACAAAGAATGGCATTTCTTTGAATTGTGACCCTCTCTCTCAATTCTGCCTTACAGCAATGGTTCAGCATGTATAAACCCATCACCTACAACACAAACCTGCTCACAGAAGAGACCGATTCCTTTGTGAACAAGCTGGATCCCAGCAAAGTTTTTAAGAGCAAGAACAAGATCTTAATCCCAAAAAAAAAAGGGCCTGTGCAGCCTGTGGGTGGCCAGAAAGGGCTCTCAGGTCCCCCTGCTCCCTCCACTTCTAAATCATCCTCTGGCTCTGGAAACCCTGTCCGGAAATGAATACCTCCAGGTTTTCACCAGCTCCACAGTTGTGGTTCCCATGCACGGATGGCCCCAGCCTCAGATTCTGTGTATGAAACCACAGGCTGCTTCTCATCTCAGTGGCCAAAATCCTAGGCCTTTGCTCCTACTGACATTATCCCTGAGTTGGAAGGGCATACTGAGGTCTCCCAGAACTAGGTGGTGCTGTCCTGTCTCCAGAAGCAAGGGAGAGTTTTGGATCTTGTTTAAGTGATCAGATAGATCTGCTGGGAACTTCCCTCTGTTTCTGTACCCAACCTTCAATCCCTTAACAGTGATAAGCACCCCGCCACCACCAAAGAAACCACTGGCTTTGACCCACGATGCATTAGAACTTTGCTGTTCAACCAGAAGCCACTAGTTGCATGTGGCTATTTAAATTATATGAAAATTCATTTCCTCAATTGCATTAGCTACATTTCAAGTTTTCATGTTAGTAGATTCTGTATTAGCACAAAGGTATAGAACATTTCCATCATGACAAAAAGTTCTATTGGACAGCCCTGCATTAGAATATGTTCATACTGTTCTTAGATCAGTTTTTGTTAAATGTTAGTGTCTTAATTTGATGGGTCATAATGTTCCATGAAAACTCTTGAAGATAACAAGTGTACATTCTTTATATCCTTTACTGCAAACATATTTTGCTCTGCTCATTTCTATTTCAGTATCCTATAAAGTTTGTCTTCCTTATCAGTTTCCTCTTAAGTTTCTTGCTTCTAGTTTAGTGTTGTGATGTTTACATTTTTGCCAGAGTTATTTTTTTAGAAGAGATGTACTTCTGCTGTATTCTAACCATTTAAAAACAAAAAACAAATTCCCAAACATTGTTTCACAGGACCTTCATAAGGAGTTTTGATAAAGCCAGTCACTATTAACAAAAGCTTTCCACTTGCTCTGCCTGCCTAGTCTCGGCTGAGTTGTCCAGCCCTGGCCTGCCTTGGGACAAGCAGTCTCCTGTGTAGAAGCAGGGTAGGGTTCTAAGAGTTCCTTTGGAAGTAAGTTGCCTATAATCCAGAATTCATTTTCCCATAGACACATAAGGGTATTAGACCTCTGGCTAGCCCACATATGCATAATATTTGACACAAGATAAATCTGAACTTAATAGAATTTCTATAGAGAAGAGCACTCATGTTTTCAATTAGAAATGTCTATTTCCTTCCTCTGCACCCGCAGAAGCAAGGCTTTTACTCTACTTTCCAGGAGGGAAAGTAAGGAATCTCCCACCCAGCCCTAAGGTCCTTGGGTAACTGCAGTTTGTGTGTTCCAGTCCCAGAGGTTGGAGAATGAAAAGTTCTGAGGGATGAGATGCAGGGGTCTATACTATCTGCACACTTCAATCCCAACTGGCTCTCTCTTTCCTGACTTCTCTCTACCACAGTGATTGGCAGGCTTCCTTCCTTTGCATGACCTCTGCCTCCTAATCAACCTACAGTTCCCATCTTCCATGACCCCCTGGGGGGACTAAAAGTAGTCCCCAGGATTTTCCACCTGCATTTTGCTCTGAAACATTTTGAGTATCTATGAAGTTTTAAAATTTTTGTTTTGGCCGGGCGCGGTGGCTCACGCCTGTAATCCTAGCACTTTGGGAGGCCGAGCCGGGCGGATTGCTCAAGGTCAGGAGTTCAAAACCAGCCTGAGCAAGACCCGGTCTCAAAAATAGAAAGAAATTAATTGGCCAACTAAAAATATATATACAAAAAATTTAGCCGGGCATGGTGGCACATGCCTGTAGTCCCAGCTACTCGGGAGGCTGAGGCAGAAGGATTGCTGAGCCCAGGAGATTGAGATTGCTGTGAGCCAGGCTGACGCCACGGCACTCACTCTAGCTTGGGCAACAAAGTGAGACTCTGTCTCAAATATTCATGAAAATGAGGCGTCAATCTTCCCTCCACCTATCACTTTCTATAGCCCCTGAAGAAAACCAACGTGAAGAGTTGGCCTTCAAGGATCAAGGCAAACTGTAACTGGCTGGTTCCTTATTTTTGTTATAGTTGAAAGTCTTGAAATATTAATGCTCAAAAGTCTTTGGGAGCATAAGCTGAACCTCATGTTAATAGCTTATTCAATTGCTTTCAAATATGTATACTTTGACCATTCTGATTCACTTCTAATGGAAAATGTTTTAAAATAACAATACCTCTTACCTTTGCAATCCCAAAAATAACCATTTACAATTCAGCATGGTCATTTAAATATTTTTGTGTTTTTTAACTATAACATGACTCTATCAAATCTTCCATAATTTAGGAGATATTTAGGCTCTGTTAATTGCTTAGATTATTACACTTCAAATTGTTAAGTGTGCAATAATTCATGGAGTGGGAGAAAAGGATACAGAGAGACCCAAGTTTGTAAAAAAAACATAGCTGGAGTTAAATCTTCCAGAAGTATTTTTCTGGCCAGAACTGATCAAATCACAGCAATAACTGACAGCACCAGATAAGTGATAAGTCAAGGTTAAAAAGGAAGTGAGAAGTCATGTCATCTTCCATTGGATCCCCTGAGTTATAGGACTTCTAAATCAGTCCTGGTCCAGTTCCAGGTTCCACAGGTGAAGCAACAGAGGAACTAGAAGAGCAGTGGTACCCTTAAAATCAGTGGCAATCAAGTGGAAATCCTCAAGAGACTGTCTAGGGAAAGGGATTATGATGAGAAAGTAACTACTCAAGACCTGCCTCAGAAGGGACAGGGCAGTGAGGAGCAGGGCCAGCTACCTAACATGTAGGAGTCAGTGAAAAATGAAGATGTGGGCCTCTTGTTCAAAAATCAGGAAAACAGTGCTATCACAGGTACTAACATACAATGGTTTTCCTAAGATGGTGCTTTTTATTTGCTACTTAATGCTGTTGTAAGAAAAATTAAAATTTTACATTACTAGCATGTATTTTACTATTCATCTTTATACAGTTTTTGTACAATTCCAGTTTTAAATGAAAAAGCATTTAGAGTCATGTATCATGTTTCCCCCAAAATAAGACAGGGTCTTATATTTATTTCTCCTCAAGAAGACACCCTAGGGCTTATTTTCAGGGGATGTGTTATTTTTTTTAAATACGGTACAACAATCTACACATTTATTCAAATACAGTTCAGTCGTCTTCTGGAACATCATCATAACTCTCCAAGCCCTGAATTTCTTGCGACTCTATTTCCTTTAGAACCATTGGCCCCAATCTCTCGTGTTGAGCAATAGAGCTCTCATGGGGCAGATGAGAAGGGCTGCTCATCTTCTTTACCGCTCTGTGACAAAATGCATGGATTGTGCAGATACACTGCATAGACACGCCAATCACTAGGTCTTATTTTCGGGGTAGGGCTTATATTGCGCAAATGCTTAGAAATCCTGCTAGGGCTTATTTTATGGGTAGGTCTTATTTTCAGGGAAACACGGTACAATCGTGAAAATTGCACTTTATATTTTATACCTTATGTATACATGCTGTATGCATATGTGGTTCATTCTTACCAGAACAGTGGAAAAACTGTGCAAAATTAGCTCAACTCTTACTGTTTCACTTCTTGATATTGTGTACATTTTATCAACACTATCTTCAACTTACTGATGAGTAAGGGAGGGAAAAAAACAGAACTATGGACTGCCCTATGCTTTCCTTTTCATTTGTGTCATCATTTTCAGCATAAGTGGTTGGCTAGTACAGGAAATTACCATGAGTAAGAAAACATAAGATAGGGCTCCATGGTCATTGGCATTCTTAGAATGCCATTGCTTTGTGTGTTCGAAGCAAGTTTGGTTCGATTGGAAAGCGTGGCCTCTTGGTTCTCTCAGGACCACCACTTAGTTGTGAACCTAAGATGTTTACCTTGTACTCACTTTGGATCTCTCTGAACTCTGATGCATTGTAGGTCCACTGGAATTCTGTGCTAATGGGGCATCACGAAGGTTACAGGTGAATGGGGCAGTAAGGCACGCTGGACACACACATTGCACATACCTCCACTGCTTGGGTGCATGCAAAATGAAACTGGACCCCTGTCTCTCAGCATATACCAAAATCAACTCAAGATGGATTAAATACTTGAATATAAGACTTGAAACTATAAAAATATTAGATGAAAAACTGGGGAAAACTCTCCTGGACATTGGTCGTGGCAAAGAATTCATGACTAAGACCTCAAAAGCACAAGCAATAAAAATAGACAGATGGGACCTAATTAAACTAAAAAGCTTCTGCACAGCAAAAGAAATAATCAACTACCTGAACAGACAACATGCAGAATGGGAGAAAATATTTGCAAAATATGCAACTGATGGGACTAATATCCAAAATTTACAAGAAACTTAACAAAATAGCCCCATTAAAAAGTGGGCACAGGACATGGACATTTTCAAAAGAAGACATACAAATGGCCAAAAAGCATACAAAAAATGCTCATCACTAATCATCATAGAAATGCAAATTTAAACCACAATGCGATACCATTTTATACCAGTTAGAATGGCCATTATTAAAAAATCATACCAGCTGTGGTGGCGCACACCTATAATCCTAGCACTTTGGGATGCCGAGGCAGCAGTATCTTTTGAGGCCAGGAAGGAGTTCAAGACCAGCCTGAGCAACATAGCAAGACACTGTTTCTACCAAAACCACCAAAAGTCAAAAAAACCATGGCCCTAAGTCCCCAAGCCCAGCCCCACAAAGAGCAGTAAAAGTTGAAATGCATTTTCAGAGATCAGACACAGTGGCTCACACTTGTAGTTCTGGCACTTTGGGAGGCTAAGTGGAGAGGGTTGCTTAAGGTTAGAAGTCCAAGACCAGCCTGAGCAAGAGTGAGAACTACCCCCTACCAATAAAGAAAAAAGAAAGGAAGAAGTATGTTAGGTCAATACTATCAATATTAGAAGGCAAGGTCTCTTTCTGAAGGGAAATGAGATTTCTGGTTAATTTTCTAAAAGAGCAAAAGCCAAGCCCCATGGTTAGCTGGCCCAATTGAATAGCCTGTGTACTTCAATGACCTGTCATAATCCAGGAGCACCTGCTGCTGACAGTGGAACACAAGGCATCCTGCTTACCTTGTGGTTTATTTAATGTGATGTCTGTAACACACCATGCGCATCCTTTGTGGAACATCTTTAAATATTAAACCAA